TCTTCGAGTATATAACACACAACATCCTTTTGGATATTTATAAATCCTGGACCGGCGCCCGGACCGATTGATCGTTAACGTCGGCTGTATTCGCCAATATTTCATATATCATATTATATGTATATAATATAATATATATATATATACACACGCCTATATACTCGGTTAAGTAGTACCAGTGGACTTAAATCCGAATTTCAGACAGTCCTCTGGTTGTAAATCAATAAACGGTCGTTGGGTCGGCCGTTGTTGATGTGTTTTTAAATACCTTTTGTCCAGTGTGGTACACCATATATTTATGTGGGTCAATATACTGACAACGGCGGCGGAGTCTTTGACCGGGTGTAAAAATATAAATAGTATAATAAAGCCCCCCCCCCAAAAAAAAAAAAAGATCACGTAATGTGTAAAAATGTACTTGGATTATTATTGTTATTGTGCGGCGGTGGCGGTATTTTCTGTGATAATAATAGTAAAGTGATTTTTAAGGGTCGGGGGTGGTCGGGAGGTCAGGTGTGATTGACCCGCAATCACGTGTGAAGGACGACGGCCTCGGTTTCACCCCTTTTGTATATAGTATGTATAATAATATAATATTCCTTTGGAAGTCACCGCCTATGTATGTATAACGCACGATATACAATACCACCACATTGGTATCGTGTGTTCGAGGTCGAAGCCATCCCGCCAAAGGGGGTGGTTATAAAAAAATAAAACATATATATTATAAAAACCCTTTTTTTATGGCCTCGGCCGCTCGCTTAAGAAGGTCGACGCCTATACCACTTTGTGATTTATTTAAAAAAAAAAAAAAAAATAAGAAAGGAAAGGAAATTTGTCAAAAAAAATGAAAAGCGAAATCGGTCGGCAGAGACACTTTGGCCGGTGTGCATTTCAGCATATTTTTTTAGCAGGTGGTGGTGGTGGTTAAGACATTATCATATAATATACTATGTGCGTGGATTTCCGGTGGTTTTTTTTGCACATTTGAATATTCCAATACGGCCGTGGTGTAACCCAACCCGGAGCTAAGTAAGCTACCTTTTATATTATGCGCGTTATCAAACGGAGCTGCGTTTATTAATGAGAATAATATTCAAATAATATCCGGCGGAAAAAATTGTATGTAGGTACTATATATATTTTTTTTTATCATAATTTCTCCTCCTCTCCCACACGCCGTCTTGTGTATAATATGTATTTTTAATAACCGTACAGCACTTATATACTGCGTCTTGGGAAACACATTTTTTATTTTTTTGCGTTCGTCACACATTTGTATTTGTATATATATAAATACATTGTGTGTTATTGGTGTACACATGTATAATATGTAAATTACAATCAACGCGTCATGTTTTATGTAAGTCGCGTTTATGGATTAAGGCGCGTTGAACCTGTGTGTGCACCGTAAGTAGGGCAGCGACAATGTGATATCGATGGCGAGAAAATTTTGATTTAATTTTTAAAACTTATAATAGCAACTGGCAACTTGTAATAAACCCCCTTCAAGACACGAGTGAAACCTGTGCGCGGAAATGCTGGTCAACGGCCTGTCCAACTGTTTTCCACGCGGTTTACCGTTACAGCTGTATTATATTACTCTCTCTCTCTCTCACTCTGCAGCCGGTTTTTCGGGAGCGACGACATTACTATAATATGTGTAAAAAAAACATAATAATTATTTTCACCAAATGCCGGCGAATGACCTCTCGCAGTTTCATGTTTTTGTTGTTGTTGTGATGGAGCGTTTTCCCTCGGTGCCAAAAAAAAAAAAACAAACCAGTTCTCTCCGCTTGGAAAAAAAAAATTAAATATAATAATACCGTTTTCCCAAACGAGTCGTGATCATAGACCGTCGCTGGGCACATTAAGTTAATATAATATAGAGAGTATACCGTTAACCGCGTTATAGTAGTCTTTACTATATACAACTACTACTACTATTTTTACACTATGAATACTATTACTGTAGTACTACTTTTTTTTTTCACCTTCGTTTTCGAAACGAAAGTAACGGACAAATCTCTCTTCCCCTCGCTTCTCCCCCTCGATCCGTCTTACCTTAGCTGTGTGTGTGTGTAAGTATTCCGGCCGAGAAAAATGAAAGGTTTTTTTATTTTTTTCGCTTTCGTCCGAAACCGTCTAATCGCGCGCGCGTTTCTCTCGTTAAAAAGTATATACTTAATAATAACAATAATATTTTTAATAATACAGGATAATATAAATTAATATGTATTTATTTTCCTTTTACCCCGCACCGAAGAGACTATAGGATTTTTCTTATTGTGATAAAATGCACACACACACACACACACCGACGTACACGTCTTATAAGTCTTCATAATTTTAACCAAAGGCCCTTACCCGACCGGCCTGACCTTTTATCTAACGTACACTACTTATTATACAAAGTGACTTAAATTAAAAAAAAAATAATAAAATACATTTAATTCGATACAATAAGACTCATTGCTGTCTGGACAACACATGTATGATTGTTTTAGTGCAAATAAACAGCTTCTTTTGTGTGGCCATACGACTTTTAGTCCTTCTGTTTACTTCATACAAGCATACAAGCTAGTATTGTAGCTAGTTGGTTCATCTATTTCTTGTGTCTCTTTATATTATTAGTCTGTATGATTGTCCTCGTTTAGACCCCCAAGTCTCAGCCAGAGGGGTGCAACTTGTTCGCTTTCTAAAATAAATCATTTGGGCTTTTATTTTTATTTTTTATTTGTGCTATCCAACCCGGTAAATTACACACCGTTTAAACGATGACTGAGGTAGAATAGGTGAAAAAAAAAATATTTGTTTTCCGTTTAAAACCGTGTCAGGTAATGTGGACTCGGCGGTTTTTCTTTTTTTTTTGCTGTTTGTCGCTTGTTTTTTGTTTTATATTTGAAACGAACACACCGAAGGGGCCAACGTCCCCGGGTCCGTTTGACCCACATGAGAACATATAATATAATTTGTATACACACACACATATGAGTTAAGTAGTGTATGTGTAACGCGCACACAATAGAGGTGCACATAATGGCCATATATTGTTGTTATTATCGACGGAAAACAAATAATAATAATAACGATATTATAATATAATAAAGCCCGGCGTGTTGCTGCTGTGGCTCTGCGATTACCTTGGACTAGTCGGTTTCAAAAATATAATATTATGTGTGTTATTGCAACAATGCGAGTTATATAAAAAAAAAAATCGCACAGATAGTCAAACAGATAACGTCATCCGAGCCTAAAAGACAATAATATAATATATACAACGTGTCAATTTATACATATGTAATGGAGTGTATAATAATAACAGTTTTTTCTATTATAATATATTATTATTACATTTTAACAGAACCGAACCGAAGTCGGTTAGTTGGCGCTAAATAATAATAACATGAAATATGGCTTTTGGCAAAATCTAAAAACCTCTTATCAAAACCCAACTCGAGCATATTTTTTTTTTTTATTAACAGAACCGTATCAAAAAAAAAAAAAAACACACCTGCTCCCAATCGCCTGATAATATTGAATTAAACAAATACAAGTAGTTAACACAGAGTAGTTAAACTCTACTCTTGGCAAACAGCTTCGGTTTTTCGTTGTGTTCTTTTACCATCATTGTTATTATACACGTTTTCCGACAACCGTATACGTCTTAATTCTTATACTTACACTTATAGGTGTTGGCAAAATACCGTCATAGCCGTCGATTAATTGTGACTTATGTGCGAGCTTTGACGGCTCAAGGAGACTATATCGCGGTGCACGTGGAAAATTCGCCCTGTTTACCTTTGGTCACGTTTCTCGTGTTCCTCTTATCATATAATTCTGTCTATACACAACAACCGTATTATGGTAATTATCATATTTTTTTTTTTGAAATTGGTTTGGTGTGCGTGTGTAAGACAGGTGACACACATTGTCACATTATAAGAAGCCCATTAAGTTATTGTTTTTTTTTTTACTCGACTCGATCACCGACAGTTGTGCAAAAACCTAACCGTTATATAGGCGCACAAATGTTAATACTAATATATTATGTAGGTATTTATAGAACACCGTCACAGATAACGCCACAGAGAGGAGACCAGGTCGGTCCGTTTCACTTTTACTTTGCATCCGAGCTCGTTAAATAGGGTCCGTTGACATTAGCGGTACATTTATATTTATTTTGTTGTTTTTTTTTCTTCTCTCCGGTCGGTGTAAACGACCTTCTTCTGTGTGGCGTTTGGCGTGTGAAACGGTCGGATTTCCTTTTTTTTTCTGCCGTATATAGGCCGCCGACCGCTACAGAGTGCTCTTCTAGGTTGACCCGTTATGTGCACGGGGGCGGTGGCCGCCTAAGGAGAAAGTACAAAATGATAAAAACCCGTTAAACAAATAGATAACCGTTATAATAAAAAGAGAGGAAGAGTGAAAGTACGGTTGGCTCTGGCCGTCATTGAACCCGCGTGCGCGGGAAAGCGTTATATAGCTGTGATGTTGTATTTTTTTTATGAAATTTTTTTTAAGAGGAGGAGAAATTTCTCGATTTACACTTGACCGTCGCCGCCGCCGTCGACCTGAGGGGGGAAACCGGTGAGAGGAATACTATTAAAAACTGCACAATACACACACACACACACACAGGGTATTCCCCCCTCGCTGTGTGTGCATGTAAAAAGGGGAAGGCCCGCGGTTAACGGTAAACGCATATCACACAAACTGCATCGGTACGGTTTTCACTTTCAGTGTCATCTCGGCATCTAAACCATTCGGGTACACGGACAGACAGTTTGCCACCTTTACACTTATCAAGTGTACCTATCAACATAACAATATTATACATTTTTGGATTTTGTCGTGGTCAGTCCTCCGTCGGTTTGGCACAAGCTCTCGTGTGCTTCTTCTCTTCGAATTTGTTTTTTTTTTTTTACCGTGCGTTTATTTTTGAACATTGTGCGCTGCTTATTATCAATTTTTTTTTTTGTGTTTTTTTTTTATTCTGTTATTCGTTCGTGTCGAGGTCGAATCCCAGAGAACCACCGCCACGCGTTAAACGCGTTCACGGGCTCTTGTGTGTTTGTTAACAGTCGGTGTCGGATAGTACCTGCGACGATAACGTACCGTGCACGCACTGTGCATAATAATATTGTTACTTTTTCGATATATTATCAACATTATTACTGCTACTATCACGACTATTGTTATTATCATCAACCGGTCGAGTTGTATTGTAAACGCGTGTGCAGAATTTGCCAAGAGATAACAACATGGCGGCCCGCACCGGCGATTGCCAACAATAAAGTGTTACTATTGTAATTATAATAATATTATAAATACAGTCCACACGATGACCGTTATCAATTTCAAACCCACCGAAGCCGTGGCCGAGCAGGACAAACAACAGACCACCGGCGAGCACTTGCTGCTGGGAAGAGTTTTGGCAGGTAACAAAGATAACAATAACAATAACAAAACAAATTTACCACTCTTGACGACTGATAACACGTGTGTAGTAGTTGGATTTCGAGGGGAAGTGGGTTGTTTGGCAAAAATCACCCGGGTCCATTTTGGGTCAGGTGTTTTCTCTATATGCTGCGTTATTCTGATGGCGCCGAACTGTTGTTCTAATTTGGCACCGACTCTTGTGTATAAGGGTGAAAAATGTTTTTGTTGGCGTTCGACTAGAGGGTTGTTCGGTACGGATTTTTTTTTTTTTTTTGGGGGAGAAATGTCTATTTATATTGAACCGTTAACGCTCGGTTTAAGTTTAACCTAGTAAAATATCAGTGTGTATTCTGGTTTTTATATATATATATACATATTTGTTTGTTTTAAAACCAATACATTTTTTTTTTTAAAAAAAGAACATTAAATATTTGCGCTGTTTATTGTTTTTGGCATTATAGTTATCTTTTGTGTGCGCTATACAGAAGCGGGCGGAGGACGAGGAGTGGAATTTATTTATCGCACGAGGGGGAGGACCTCCGAGATCTAGGTCAGGTCGTTGCTCCTGAACGGCGGCGGCGGCGGCATTTGGCCTTCTCGGCGTTTTCGGGATAACGCTTACATATCTATATATATAGAATATGTATTTTATTATTATGTGTGTGTATATAACCGCTATGTATTATAAGTGTACTGTGCGCTGGTGTAACGCCCGGCCCGAAGGAGGTCAGCGCCTGCAACACAACAGCAGGGACGCGAGGTCGTTCAACTCTGTTTGCCCCGTAACTGGGGCAAGATGTTTTGCGCGCGCCGCCGCCACCATTGCTCATAACGCAAACCTCCTCCTATATAACTCGCACACCGAGTGGTGCAGAGAGGAGAAAGTGGTGTGGGATACGATATTATAATACAGGAGGAGGAGGAGGCGGCGGCCACACTGGAACGGTATGACGTAAAAGCTCCGGGCCCGCGTACGGGATTCGCAATGTCGCCGCTATCCCGGTGTGACCGCAGCCGCCGCCTCGCACACCGTTCTAGGACACGGGTTCATTGGCATCGCCACCGCGCGTTATCGGCGGCTCACGTCGGCGCTCGACTCCCCCAGTCAAGGTGCTTACAACAATAATAATAAAAATAATAATAATTATTATTATTATTCCTATATAACATGCAACGACCACTTATCGAAATTTTGATTGTGGCAACGAGCAGCAACAAATAAATTGAAAAAAAAAATCATTCCTAGAAAGCCCAACCTTTTGCTTAAACATCATATTATAATGTGGGGCAAACACCGAGTATCGGCTGAATAAAAACCAAAGAAAAAACCCTCTGGGTGGTTTGGTGTCTCTTGGGCTCAAGTTCAAAGAACTCTAGGATGAATAAAATCCTAGAAGAAAGGAGGGGGCTTGCTGTATACCGTTTATTATATTATATATTATACCTGTGTAGGATCCGGCGGCCGGCGGAACGGAAAAAAAAGTGAGAGTTCTTAACCGTTATACACGGTGAAAGTATATAATGGTGGATGTGTATATGTATATAATTTTTTTTCTTCTTTATTCTCGTCCGAACCAGTTTCACTTTCGTACGTATAATAATAATATATTATATTATCGGTGTGTATGTGTGTGTGTGAAGAGTTCATCGACTCAAAGTGAAAACCCGGCTATACCGTTATGGCGACGGTTGTGTGATCATAATACCTACCTAGTTGTAATAACTAATAATATGATGATGAAGATGACTCGACGTGCAATAAATAACAATGATAATATTGTCATTTTGGGCTACAGGCCAAAACAAAATTAAAAGAATTTCAAAAAAAGTCCCCGTTACCGTCGTTTGCGCTTCGTTCGAGAAGTATCACTGCAATTGTTATTTCTATTTTGTTTTTTTAATTGGCCTTTATATATATATATATATATATATATATATATATTTACATCCTCCATACATTTGTTATGATAGGTAAATACACTCTCGGTGTTATCGGATAGTGTACCCTGGGGAGTGGAAGGGTGGGGGCTACCCACCACGGTATATATGGGGTCGCCGTGTCGTTGCTACGGGATACAAGCTCTACGGTTATAATATATATATGTATAGATAACATATTTGTACATAAGCTCTACTACATCGCCCTTGCCGCCGTATCACTCACAGGGAGCAATGCCCTGCCGACGGCTGTGTTTCCCCTCTCTTCCCTATCTACATAAAAAAATGGCACGTCCCTCTCCTATACCGCCGTGACCCCAATACGCGGTTTTATCGGCTCTCCGTGTGGCACATAGGAAAAATCCGTACGCCAATTACCACTCATAAGATATAATAATAAATATACACACACACACACACTTACACATGTATATGAATTGGTGACCCGATTAGACAAGGTGATCGCGCCGTACAGTCCTAGTTTTGTGTACACTACGGCCAAGAGTATATACGGTAGTACCTATATATATATATATATATATAATACAATATGAACGGCTCTAAATATATACAAGTGTTTGTGGGTGGGGGAGAAATAGAAAACGTCGATTCTTTGCAAAACTACCCTTGACACACCGAGAGTGCTATAAAAAAAAATATATATTTTATAATGATATTAATGTAATCTCTCTCTGCCCACGCTAAATCCTTGTTGTGTACACACATGTATACCTATATATTTTGTTATATGCGTTGGCGGGGAGGTGATCGCAATGTCCTCCCCTCCCCTTCCCCAGGCCGAGTGGCCGCTGTGTAACCAAGGTAACCGAACACAATCCGTGGCCAAAGTTCAACAACCCTTTTTCGTGCCGCGTTTCGGTTTACGGCCACCGGCCGTTGGCAGCACGGTCGCCCGCCTTGTCGTACACACTGTATAATATCTCTATACATGACACACACACACGAAGACTCACTGTAGAAAATGTACACACATAATAAATATTATTATATATATTGGCCCCTTTTGTTCGCGCAATTTTGTTTTACGTAACGTGGACTACAAAAAGTACACTGACCTCGATAATTATTTATTAATATGTATTTCTTTATAACCGATATTTATTATTATTATCTATCACCGTATCGGTGAGCGTTGCATATACACTTGAATTATTAGGTATTGTTTGTAATGGTCGCCGACATTTTTTCCTTATAATATTGGTACGGTGTCCAACACGAAATTGGTGTGGCGGTTTTGGCTTGTATTAAAATGTAATAACACTATGTATGTATGTATACACAATTGCGACCAATTATCGATATGCAATATGACCTCCCTCGGATGATCTTATATATATTATTTGGATTTTGTCGTCGGTTTATTTTTTAATCGTTCGCATATTAATATGTTTTGTACGCTGATAACACTGTATAATTTTTTATTATTAAATAGTCTTATCGGGAAATAAAAAGCCGCACGCATTTTATTGACCCATTTTTCGATCAGAACAAAAAAAAAATGAACGATATTAATTATAATAATTCATCTATTAAAAAACATTGTACATCGGATATATGTTTTTTTTTAATATTCTTGACTATTTTTCTGTTAGAACGTTGCCTACCTGGATTGTACTGTTGTCCGCTAACTGTCAACGGGGTGTATACCGTGTTTATGGAGGGTTTTTTTTTTTAATTCCTACAGTTATAATTGTTTTTAACCGTTGGGGGAGGAATTTATATTAGGATTGCGGTCCGCCCCTCGCCGTGGTACATGCGCGCTGCGGCACTTGCCAAGGGGGGTAAAGTTTAATTTAACAAAAGAAAAAACTTCCCTTCCGCTTTGGCCGGAGCGGCGGCAGGACAGGCGGGCGCTATGACGTCAACGGCGCGAATCCCGAGGGACGGTTTCTCGGGTCCCCTCCGACCGTTAACCCTGGAACGCCAAGGACATTGACCCTGCGTCTATCGTGCGTGTGAGTGGAGCGCGCCCGGCACCATCGCATCGCACCGTGCCGCCGTCGTCGCAGACCGACCCGGGACGCGTCGCACGAACCACGTTTGTTGGCGCGCGCCAAAAATAATCATACACACCCGCGTTCGGCACGCAAGTCTTCCGCGCCCGTTGTCACACGTCTCCGATAATAATTGTCCAATGGTCTCGAAAATATATTCCCCGTCCGACGACGACCAGTCCGTCGTGGACGCCGCCGCCGTGGTCGTCAAACCAGGTAAACGAAAAAAAATATTTTTTTTTTTATTTTCAAGCCGTTTTCATTTTTTTCTTCAAATCTATCATTGTAACTGTGTTACGCGTACCCGCCGTGCGTGTGTGTGTGTGTATGTGTGTGTTATGCGTGCGCGCGCGAAAACGGTGGCCGGCGGGCACATGCGCAACAGTATTGAGCGGCCAGACACAGACTCACTCAAGGCCGCGTTGACCCACAATCGGCAGCGCGGTCAACGACCGATCCGCGCGCCATCCCCTCCGCGCCAATATTTCCACAGCCGCTTTTGTTTGTTATTGTCTTGCGCGCGCGCACACACACACAACACATACGTAACACGGCGCCGTAATAATATTATAATAGGCAATGATGATATTGTTACAAACGATTTTTGCGCGAGAGAGGAGGGATTTATACGCGACGGGGGTGTGTAAAGGGTGTTAAATTATTATTATTATTTTTTTCCGATTAGATTAGGGCAAAAAATTTAAATAACAAGGATTTTTGTAGGAGATGGCCCGGCGACACATTATTAATGTGTGTTAATATTAATAATGATACATTTTAAATAGCGATATGTGTAGCGGGCTGCGGGCCAACAACTCGTTTTGCGCCTAACGCGCGCGTTAGCGGTGGCGGTGGCGGCGGCGGCGGCGGCGGCAGCTTGCCGAGTTGCTTGACCCGAGCGGCCCGGCCGAGTTGTCAGTTCAACGCACCGCATCTGGGTCATGACTGTAACCATGTCGCTACTTACGTAACGGCCGTGTACGAATTTGAACGGCCACCGCCGCCGCCGCCGCCGCTTGCCAATTGAATAACACATCATATTGTATGTCTTTTATTGAACAAAAAAAAAACCCTTAATTTTCGTACACAAAAGTAAAGTATTCATTATTTTTTTTAAAACAAAACTGTTTGTTTGAATAAAGATAAAAATATTTTTTCAAAACATTTGTTTCTCCACACAAGCGGGGCGCGCATACCTATAATTTATAATTATAATCACGATAATTATTATTATTATTATTATTATTGTACCGCGGTGTCGGATTGCGAAACACTTGTGTTTGCCTCAGCGTTATCGACACGGGCTGCGATAATAATAAACATATATGTACCTATATATACACACATATTACGGGGAAGAGAAAAAAATTTGTTCTATTTTTTTTTTTTTTTTAATATATCCGATAACAAAAAACGGCTCGAGAGAATATATTTTTTTTTTCTAGGACGAGTTGGCCAACGTTTGTTGTTAGTGTGTGCAAGTGTATTGGGAATAATATAAAAAAATCGGTATATAACGGCGAGGGGGGCACGGCGGCGGAGAAAGTGCAACGGCCTCTCCTCGTAACACAATGCTAATGGGTTACGGCAATCCCGGGTTATCGAACCGGCGTGTGTCATGTGTGTAATTTTTTTTTTTTTTTTTTTAATATAAAAACCTATAACAGGCTGTGTCGACACCGGCCGAAGGACAAGCAAACGCGTACGGCAGAAACCCTGCGAAACAAAAAAAATTATAATAATGGCGCTTATAAAAATTATAATAATAATATAGGTGTGTGGCCTGTTTTTGGATATTTTAAGACTGGAACACACAAATCCGGCTATTCCTCCCATTGGTGAAATTGGGTTACGACGGCGGGTCGATGGCATTGCGCCGAGTGCGATAACACCGCTCTTGTGATATTATGTGTGTGTGTGTGTGTGTTGTTTGAAGTGTATATTATAATATTATAATATGCAACGAGTGTTCTACATTTGTGAATTACAATAACGTCACCGCATCGTTTTTGCGGACGTCGAACTCGTCAGCGGCCGCGGCGGTCGACAACCTGTTAGAATTATTATTATATACATATATATATATATATATATATATATATATATATATATATATATATAATATCTGTGAACCGCGTACAACGGCTTCGATAACGAAAATAATAATAATAAACTTATTAAGAATAACTCTTGTGTTGTGTGTGCGTTCGCTATTATTGCGACGGACGCCGATATAATAATATAACAACAATAATAGTATAATAACAAATGAGGTAATTTGTAAAGTGAGCGAGTGAATGACTGACATGAAGAAGACTTAAACGGCCGCTAGGCGCGAAAAATCTTTGCCGCCGCCGCCGCCGCCGACCTTCGGGTTTAGCCGTGCCTGTTAGTGCGCGCGCTTGACGGGTACAACATAACTGAGTCAAGGTCGATGAACCTGCAGCGTGGGCGTGTCCCGGCCAATCGGCCGCCACCGCCACCGTTACGGATACATCTCGGCCACCCTCGCGTATACACCGGCCATACACCACCGCGGACACCACCGGGCACTCACACGTCGCACATGTGCAACACGCGCTCATCTCGGCGTCTTGTGTTCACTCACCACCGCAGTTGGCGCGCGCGATCACCATTCGAGCCGGCCCGACGGATCGTCTCTTGTTGCGTTTTTTAATTATCGGATAATTTTTTTTTTAATTATTGGCCAAAATGTGGATTGATTTTTTTTACGATTACCATCACCTCCGTCCGTTGTCGGCGGACAAAGAATTAATTTCCGGTTAATAATTTGTTTTTAAGATAATATTTTTTTAACTTGCTTTTTTTAAATTTTAATTTACTAAATGTGTTTTTTTTTTGCTTGTGTTACAGAATTCGATGGAAACACAGTGCTGTGCCGAGTTTGCGGCGACCGAGCTTCCGGTTTCCATTACGGCGTACACTCTTGCGAAGGATGCAAAGTGAGTAGTCAACAACAACAATAATATTTACTTATAATTATTGGACGATTGCAAACGAACGGGGCAAATTCAATTTTTAAAATTATAAAATTTAAACAGTTCGGTTAAAATACAAAATAATTTCAATTAATTTATTTTAAAAACTAATATTTACACATTTTGCCTCGTTTGTTTTCTACACTTTTACCTTAAATAATACTGCGCGTGAAATTATCATATTTTCATATCTCTTACTTTGGGCGGGTCTCAAACAGGTCTATATACAATATAATATAAAGAGTATCAACAAGTCTTAACCCTTAACTTGGCACTGTATCCTTAAAGATGTACATGTTAAATTTGATATATTATAACTTTCCTTGACCAACATTACAAATTACCTTTATGTTAATTATTTTTGTTATTAAAAAAATTAGCCCCTTGCCAAGTTAAGGGTTGGTAAATATAAAAGTATAGACCGAACGCATAACATGCAAGTGACTTAATTAACAATAAAAAAAAACAATTACCGCGTTTGTTGCGAGTTCGACGGGACAATGCACGAAGGTCTCTGGGGGGTTTTTTTTTTTTGCTTACAAGTTTTTTACTGTACTTGCAAGTAACTAACATAATACTTTTCGCGTTCATGCCTGCCTGCCTACCGGCAAACTCTGCTGTTCTATTGATTTTTTTTTCGGCGCAAGCGGAGGTTCGTTGAACCCGCGACCGAGGGAAAGTATATTGTTTAGCTGTGCTAATGCTGTACTTGGTGTTTTTTTGATTAATAATTTCTCGAGTATTTATTATTGTTATTGTGATGTGATGTGGTGTCGTAACGGCCGGTATAATAATATGGCGTGTGCCTTCTTCTGGCGTTCAACCGTTTGGTTTGTGTGTGTTCATAGGCGAAAGTCCGGTCTTGCTATAACGGACCGGTCCACTTTCTTCTTCACTTTCTTCCGGACCCCACTCGCCGTTACGTAAAAAACCGTTCCGCGTTAAATTCGCAACGGAAACACGTTGGTTATTATTATTTTTTTTTTAAGACAAAATATTTAACAACAACAACAACAACGTTACCTAAGTAGACCACACCAATAGTACACAATACTTAGTAGTAGACCTAGATCGACGTGTCGGGCCGGTGGTTTTCAAAAATATACCCAACAGGGTAAATCTGGTTTTCGACCTACCGAAAAATTCGGTTGTCGAAGAAAATTCGGTCGCCCCATTGTCTTTGCGGGTCTTCTTAACGGGTCGCCCGCGTTTACCGTTATGCCCTCGGCGGGTGGTTTGTACCTCTACTCGCTTACACGGTGGCATATACAATAATAATAATAGTGTGCCGGTTGTATCATATCATAACATTAATATATATTCCTCGCAAAGGGTTGTGGTCTGTCCAAGTCAGGGTCACCAGGAAGGACGAATATCGTCGCACCGCGGGGATGGTTGCCCGCACTATACAATACGGCTACTTACTTGTGGCCCAAGCGATTATTTATTTTATTTATACCCATAATGTACCGTTTTTTTTTCGCCCCCGTCAACCCTTCAGGGCGAGGGGGTTGATTATAATACATACCGTTATCGACAGATCTAACGGGTTGCTCGACCCATCGACCTCGGTCGGAGATAATATTATATATAACGGTACATGCTGTATACAATGATGATATAATAATATTATGTGGATCCAAAAGGGATGCGTGTACCACTTGGACACGCGCATATGTACTTGTTCTAATTTTGCGCCTTTTGCTCTTTCCATTATTATTGTTATTACTTCTTCTGGGGACGGGGGGGGGGGTGGAGGGGAGGTAAAACCGTACTTGCGACACACCGTGTGTGTGTGTGTGTGTGATACTTACACACATGGGTTATTCCCCCGGGAGCTGGTCGTGCGTCAGTGTCAGTGTGTGTATTGTATTTATTAGGTATACGACCCGAGTGCGTTGACACCGGCTGGCCGAGACAACAACCTGGGCGGACCCGGTGTATAATATATATATATGTGATGAAATTAGGCCGTAATGACGTCATAGGGCCAATGACTTTACTCGGTCCGGTCCGGTCCGAATAGCACACATAAACGCATACCTATATTGATAAAAATAAAAAAAAATTATAATATTTAGAGCTTTTTTGACAATGTGATTATTTTGCAAATTCCAAATACGAAATAACGGGAAACGCGTTATTTGATTTTTTATTAGGTCAATTGACAATTATTATTATCGGGGACGCGACCCGTCCGCTTTACAGTACAATAAATATAATATATATATTTTTTTTATCGCGTCTCTGTCCTTGGCGGCGACAATAATTTTTTCAACATAATTTTTTTATTTTTTATTTGTTCACTATCTCGTTTGCCGTTTGTGTGCAATTTTTTTTTTTAATGTTTGTAGAGTACTTATACGACGTCTTAGTGCTCGCGGTATTTGGCACGACGATAGGGCAATTAAAATATGAGTGCTTGCACAGCGCTTTGTGCGATAAGCGGCCGCCGTCGTTCCCCTATCACGGGTTCGTTGATCGCCAGGGCGCCGCCTCGATTTTTGTAACACTATTAATTATTATTGTTGTAATAATAATCGGAGCCTTTGGGTTGATGAAAAGTTCTAGAACAATTTTTTTTTTTTTGACCGAGGGTCATAGACCTGCCGGCGGTGCAACGGTCCGCGGCCCGAGCACCGTACATAACCCGTTACACGCGCCGCCGTGTAATACTTATACTTTTACTTTATTGTGTTTTCTTAAATTATATTATCATTGTAGGTATATAGGTATAGGTATAGTTTTTTTTTTATTGTTGCGCGTTCCTCCTCCTCCTCCTCCACTTCTTGGAGATTTTTCGGGAGACGGGGGAGGCGAACAAAACAGAACAACATAACGGGTTATGCAGTTTTGTATTTTGCAGCCGAGGTGGGAGTGAAAGACATACACACGGCGTGCAGCGCATAATAAATAATAAATAATATACATATTATACACTATAACGTTATATTATTATTGTGAATTACACAGTGTGTGTGTGTGCGCGCCGTTTGTGTGTGGTGGTAGGGGAGGAGAAGGAGGAGAGTTTAACGTACCGCAACTAGGTCGCGGCGTCCCATGGCGGAACGGACGGCTCGCGCCAACCGCACCAGTGTGCCGTTCAGTACACACCCGACAGCGTGTGCGAATATAAGTCACAAGTGTGTTCGAAGCGCGTTCAATAGAACATATTAATATATTATATTGTTGTAGACTTTGAATTTGAGTCATTTTTTTTTTTTTTTTTGCTGGCAAATTTGCCATCCGCTATTTTATAATATATAATAATAAATTCCTAAACGATGCCTCCGATTTGTTGTGCGGACAAAACGGCTCTCGGCGGCGGCCCGAGACGCTGGCGTCGCGACCCCGCCGACTCTGGCGGCAGCGCGGCCGACATGTCGTCGTCCACGGACGACGACTCGGACGCCGGCCGCGGCGGTGACCTAACGTTGTACGACGATAACTCACCGTGCACCGACGATCGGTTACAGGGTTTCTTCCGGCGGAGCATCCAGCAGAAGATCCAGTACCGGCCGTGCACGAAAAACCAACAGTGCAACATCCTCCGGATCAACAGGAACCGGTGCCAGTACTGCCGCCTGCGCAAGTGCATCAGCGTCGGCATGAGTCGAGATGGTGAGTACATTCATGCGTCACATATATACTACTAGCGGTGAGAAAGGCCGCATTTCAATTGGATTATAATTTCAATTAAAAATAACAAAACATTTTTTTACATTTTTTCAATTAGCATTCTCACCGCTTAGATTAAAAAAATATACATACATATTTTAGTGCTTAAGCGATATAGCGTGTGCACAGCTTATTTATTGTCGTTTGGCTCGCAAAGGTCAAAAGCCCCTTAAATAATACTCTGCTCAAAAATAGAAGCCAAACGAGTGCTAGATTGTCCAGCAACGAGTGTTCTATTATTAATTATCGTAGTTTTAATATTATGATGCTAATCGCGAGCGCTTCAGGGACGTTCTTTATTTATACATGTGTGTTAAATTTTTTAATCATCATTTAACCTTCGGTCGGTTAATTCTTTTTATTTCGCGTTTGACCCGAAATCCCGGCGCAGATAACGCGACACGAACGCCAATAATATTGCAATAATAATAATTATGTCGAGTAATTTTTTTAAGGGCAAAAAACTAAACCGGGGTTATTCGAGAGACAAATACACTTAAAAACGATTACACATAATATTATGTATATAATAATATTTTATATTTGTGTGTGTGTGTGTGTGTGTAATCGGTCAATGACGCAACGCAATGGCAGAGTTTATTATGCGCGCGTACAAAGAACGGTCGCAATGACCTGTTTTCTGCAGTTCGTTCAACTCTCGATGTCGATGGCCGCCGCCGCCTCGCTCTCCTCTCCCCGCCTTTCCCTTCCGGCCTAAACCCGATACACCGTTCACTGCGGCACACAGCGGGCGACCCCTTCGAGCCGATTATTCGCAATCGCGGTGTTGCACACAAACGGTAACGACAACTATTATTATTGTTATCACTACCGAATAGTGTCATCCCAGAAATAAATTGAAAAAAAATTGAGGATTTTTTTAAACATTGAGCAAAAAAATCCCAGTTTTGAAATTTTCAAGTATTCTACGATTTCCCTGTGGGGATATAAACAACGAAAACAAAGTCGTGCATCGCGCATCCAACAAAAAAACTTTCTTCTGCCGTTTCTGTCCGTAGCGGCCTTCGGTGGCGTCCTCTGGCGGCGAGCTGCGGCCAGGCCGGCCGACGGATTTGGCCGCCAGATGGCGCCACCGATGGCCATAACCGTAGTCGGCGCTTGTTAATTGTTAACTATTATTATTATTTACCGGCGAAGAAGAAACGGCAAAAAAAAAATAACAAATATTGTCCACTCCACCATAATAATATGCAACACACAATAATAATAATAACAAGCAGCCGACCTTCCGGACAGCCCCGACACTCGTCACGGTGACCTCGACATATCGTACGTAGGTATATTAAAAATGGTTTATGTTTGTCGTCGTCGGCTTTGTGTATAAATTAAGACAAAAACAACAATGTAAACTACCGACGATTTCCTCCTTCCTTGCCCGAACCCCAAATACCAGTTTCGAAAACACTCCACGTATAAACGCAAGATAGTTTTTCTGTTTAAAAATGTCATCGTCGCCAACACTATAGTTAGTTGGCATAGGATACGTTGAATCCTGAAATCCTGACCCGAGTTTTGCCAGTTTTCCGTGCCGCACGTCGTGTGTGTTTATTGCATAAAAACACCGTTGTCCGTCAAGGTCGTCGACGATGGATTCGCCGGGCCCTTCTCTGCGCAATGTCATTACGACCTTAGGCTTCCTCGCCGGTGGGAGGATAACGCGCGTCACAGGAGAATCATCAAAACGAAACGACGGGACGAGGGGGAGGGGGCTCGTTACTTTAGGCGCAATTCGCGGTTATGATGTTAAAACGCACGCGCGCGCAAGAGAGAAGAGTGGAAGCGCCGCGCCGCACCGCACGCTCCGTCCCAAGTTCAAGGGTACGGAGGCGCGCGTTGATAACGTCCCGGCGGCGAGAGGGGGGCCCCGACCGTGCCATCTCTGCCCCCCCCTACCACGGCGTGCGCGCGGGACGGCGGCCGGCGTTCGCAGGTTTCCCCCACCATTACCGCGCCGCGTCCTCCGGTGGCGGCGCCGAATGCCCGACGGTGGCCGTGAAATGCGGCTCATTGTGATCGTGAACCGTACGCCCGTCTGGTCCGGGAATGCGCGCATACAACGACCGTACAACGCGTGGTGTGTGAACGACAGCCCGGCCGCCGGTACGATACCGAAAACGTTAATTTATAAATTAATAATATTATTCGAACGCACACTTGGAGAAAAACGTTAACTCATCGGTCGCCATGACGTCGTGCGTCGTACCATCGTCTGGGAAACTCGCGTCGGTGTTTGAAAATTGACTTGTGCGTTTTTTCGAAAAACATAATATTCGATTATTGTAATATTAATTTTACACCCGTTTGTGCGTTACCCGACCGCGAAAATGAGTGAAAAGTTACCAATACTCAAAGGAATACTCAACGGCGTCGTACGTTACCACAACGCTCGTATGTATTGTTATTGTTCGTGTCACCATTTTTACGACACAATTATTATTTATCATAAACTTACGAAATATCATTAATTTTTTTATTTCGATGTCGTTTTTTATATTTCGGGGTGCCGCTTTCGTGTCGTGGAAACAAAAAATATAGGGGGAGGGAGGGGGCCGTGGTTTACTTTCGCCGGCCGTCGTCCGCGACCTCTCCGGTAAAAGTGAAATTGCCGGACTAATTTCTCTCTCGTTCGCCCCCACACACCGGTTCGGCGTCGACCCACATAAACGCGCGGCGGGTCTCGGGAGAAACGTGCGGCGGCGGCGGGTCTCTCTCGTTCATTACCATATCGAAAGAAAACAAAAACAGCCATCTATTAATTTGTACACCTCGACCCGCCTAAGTATAATCAAATATTTCGCTTTCACCGGTCGGCTAGACGTCTTTTTTTTTTATTGACTTTTTGTGTTTGTTGACTTTTTTTATTTTTCGGTATTATTTTTTTTTTTACCCATCGATTTACCGTGCCGCGCCGTTTTCAAGGGCGTTACGAGTCAAGGCCGCTGTGGGCCTACACAACCGCCGCCGCCGCAGCCGGCACCGTCTACGGGGGGTGGCCGCATGAAAGGGACAGTGCGCAGGATACGTTTTTGCCTGGCACCTGCTGCTGCCGACGCCGCGCCGCCGCCGCTTGACGGCCCGGTGCTCGTTTTCGCGTCCTATTTCACATATTATTTACACGCCAGACGGTCGTGTCGTGTCGAACGCGCGGCGCGGTACAAACCCATCCATATATATATACACACACACACACATATATATACACTTATATATATATATATATATATACGTATAATATTTTATTCGTTGTGAAAATGTTGGCCGAATGCGATTCGACGACCGGCGCCCTCGCACGTACGCTATGCACATTTTGAATATGTTGGAAATAATGTTTTTTTTTAAAATTGTTGTGTTGTAATTAACGTTTTTTGTTTTTTTTTTGTTTACAGCTGTACGATTCGGCCGAGTGCCCAAGAGGGAAAAGGCCCGCATACTGGCGGCCATGCAGCAGAGCAGCAACTCAAAGTGCCAGGAAAAAGCGGCCGTCGCCGAACTCGAAGACGACCAGAGGCTGGTTGCCAGCGTGGTCAGAGCCCATCTGGAAACGTGCGACTTTACGTCGGACAAGGTGGCGCCCACCCTGGCCAGGGCCCGCGAACAACCCAACTACACCCTGTGCCATCCAACACTGGTGAGTACATATTTGTCAATCACCACCGATATTAGACCGCACTATAGTAATATGATCGTTATCGGACGTTGCTCGTCCAGGAAGAACCTTGACAGCCAATCGTTTATATGTTGTGTCCGTTGACGACAAGGTCTATCTGTTTTATCATATTAATAATAATAATATTAATCGAGTATTTTAACACCGCGTGTTTGACACCGTTTTATGTGTTATTGTCGTGAAACTTTTCCGTTTTTTAGAAACGACTTTTGACCCGTTCTTCAATTTATCGCGTGAAAAATTACACGCACAAATTTCTCCGCCGCCGTCGCGGCCTTGGCCTTGTTGGCCGTCGTCGCCGCCGCCGCCGAAATTTCCTAAACGACTAGTGACGCACCGCCGCCGTTCTTCTCCCCTTCCCCTTTGTTTCCCCCCTTCGACATCCGGATCGCGTGTGCAACCCGTTAAACCCGATACTCTTCCATTGTCTACAACGTGTGTGTGTTTTTTTTTAATGTCTTGTCGGCCTTGCGATAGGCGGCGCGCCGACTATTTACTTACAAGGCCGAAAACGAGTCTTCTTCATTTCATAAATTTTTCTCGTATAATTGTTTATCATTATAAAAAAACGGTATACTTATGGTTTTTTTGTTTTTTTTTTCTATGTTCTCAGGCTTGCCCGTTGAACCCCAGCCCGCAACCCGTCACTGGACAACAAGAACTGTTGAACGACTTCTCGAAGCGATTCTCGCCGGCCATCCGCGGCGTGGTCGAGTTCGCCAAGCGCATACCCGGTTTCGGTTTGCTCGCCCAAGACGACCAGGTGACGCTGCTCAAGGCCGGCGTTTTCGAAGTGCTGCTCGTCCGCCTGGCCTGCATGTTCGACTCTGAGTGCAACAGCATGGTCACGCTCAACGGCCAAGTGTTGCGCAGGGAATCGGTTTGCGCGTACTCCAACGCCAGATTCCTGACCGATTCCATGTTTGAATTCGCCGAAAGGCTCAACGCCATGCAACTGAACGATTCCGAAATCGGGCTGTTCAACGCCGTCATAGTGATCGCCGCCGACCGTCCGGGTCTGCGCAACGTCGAGTTCATCGAGCGCATGCACAACAAATTGAAGTGCGCGCTGCAGTCGGTGCTCATGCAAAACCATCCAGACCGTCCGGGCTTATGCCAAGAACTGTTGAAAAAGATCCCGGATCTGAGGACGTTGAACACGCTGCACTCCGAGAAACTGTTGGCATTCAAGATGACCGAACAGCAAAACCAAATGCAAGAACAGCAAGAGAACCAACACGCCCGGCAGTCCGTTTGGGGAATGGTCATGAACGGCGAAGACTTTAACCGCAAGAGCCCGGAAGAGGCGGGCTCGTCGACGTGGTCCGACGAAACCACCATGGAAGACATGAAGAGCTTAGTCATGCTGGACGAAGTCAAGAGCCCGTTGGGTTCGGTGTCCAGCACGGAGTCTGTGTGCTCAGACGAGTACAACGGCCACCACCACCACCACCATGGCCACCAACAGCAGCAGCAGCACCACGGACCGAGCAAGCACGCGGCCAGCGCACCGCTGTTGGCCGCTACGCTAGCCGGCGCCGTTTGCCCGATCAGACACCACCCGGCCGCGCCGTCCGACGAACACCTGCATCAGGTGATCGTCCGGCCCATGTCGTGCCGGTACCAACGCAAACAAGACTCGCCCACCGACTCCGGCATCGAGTCCGGCACGGAAAAGTTGGACAAACAGACGCCTCACAGCGCGCCCACTTCGGTGTGCTCGAGCCCTCGATCCACGGTCGAGGACGTCAACGCCGACTCGCACCCTACCATCGAGGACATGCCCGTGCTGAAGCGCGTGTTGCAAGCGCCACCGTTGTACGATACCAACTCGCTAATGGACGAGGCGTACAAACCGCACAAAAAGTTCCGAGCCCTGCGCAGTGCCAAGGATTCGGCCGAAGCGGAAGCCGTCAAGCCGGTCACCGCCGCCGTCCAATCGCCGCAGTTGCACCACCACCTTACCTCGTCGCTGTCGAGCACCCACTCGACGCTGGCTAAATCGTTGCGCGAGACTCCCAAGATGACCGCGGAACAAATCAAACGCACCGAAGTCATACACAACTTCATCATGCGCGAGGACGCTTCGTACCAGCCGCCGGCCGCCACCGCGCACACCAACAATTGCCGGTGGCAGCCCACGCCGGTCATCACGTCCGCGTTGGCCCAGCACAGACTGTCGCCCACCGGTGGCGTGCTGGCCCGCGTCCTCTCGCCGCACTCGTCGAGATCTCCGCCGCCGGCCTCTCACTCGCCGGCGTCCACAACGATGCGGCGCACGCCCTCTCCCAGCGTGGTCAACCTGCAGGTAGGCATCACCAACGCCGCCGCAGCCGCCGCCGCGTCGTCCGCGCAGCCGTTGAACCTGTCCAAAAAACTGTCCCCCTCGTCGCCGGCGTCCGCGGCCGGCACGCCGCCGCCAGTGATGGCTATGGAAGCCTGAACACTGTTCTTCGCCGCCCGTCGACAATGATGGACCGCCGCCGCATCGACTCGATCTCACGAGAACACTCTCTAGACCAAAACACAATATAAAAAAAAAAAAAAAAATTGGGGTTTCTGCGTAAACCAACAGGTGCGGTGATCGTTTTCCTATTTTTATTTTTATTTTTTTGTTTTAATTTTGTGGCAATATAATAATATTATTATGTATATATAGATATATGTATAATATATATATATAGATATATATATATACATATTATTTACAACTCTTATGTGTTTGTATATATAAATATAGTGATTATTATTATTATTAATTATTTTAGCGTTAATATTAAGTTTTATCTCTCTCTCTCTTTCTTTTCCTATCTCTCCCCTTCATTAAATCTATCACTTTCACTCTCTCTCTCTGCCTGAATGTCCGACTCTTCTTTTTTTTATCACTATCGGCATAAAAAACAACGTTGTGAGATAGTTAAAAAAAATGTAAAAAAAAAAAAATAAAAGTTAATGTTTGATTACCGAATAGAATTACTATAGACTCCCCTATTAACCCGTCAATGTTATTGTTCTATTTCATATACAACGGTAAATTATTATATATAATAATAAAAAATAAAATTGTTTTACATTTTAAGAATAAGAAAAACGCATTTGATTTCTATACATACATAATATTTGTTTGTGTGTGCGTGCATAATAGTTTGGAATTTACCGTATAAGTAACGATTAATATATATTATGTATATATATATATATATATTTTTTGTTTTTTGCCGTCTTGATTAAACAATAATAATGATATTAATAGTTATTATTATCATCAATCATTTATGTAAAAATAATAATGATATTATTAAACGATTTACTTATATTATATAAAATATTTATCCGGGTGTAGTTTTTAACGGCGCAAACCGATTTTTTGACGTTTTCCTTTTTATTCATTAAAAAAAAAACAATTTACCTACCTATATACATTATAATTATAATAATAAATATATAAATATTATATTATACATTATATTATGAATGTTTTTAAACTAAAAATAATATTTAAACGGTAATATATAGTGACCTCTTTATTATTATTTTTCAATGTAAATATTATCGTTTTTTTTTTAAGTTTAAGCGTTTTACGAAAGTATGATGAAAAACACTACATGAAAATATATTATATTGATTATTATTATTTAAAAAAAAAAGCAAATAATATATTATAATATATTTAAAATATGTTTTCGAAATAAATTTTTGAGACTGAGGGAAGTGTCAAGCCATTTTTATTTTACTCCAATTGTTTTTTTTGTTTTCTATTTTTTTAGAAATAATACCAACCAAAAAATCGACTAAGGTTAACAACATAATATTATTATAGACTTTCCAATCGAGCCACCGTAAACGGCTTAAGTTCTTTTGGGTTTGCAGTGTGAATGAGTGAGTGTGAAAAGGTTTGGTTTTTTGTATTTTGGTAAACTAGAATTGGAAAAACAGATGCCTGTCACTAAAGGCGTGTAAAAGAAGTGCTTTAAGGCTAGGATAAACTGTGGTGTCGTTAAGGACTGCCAAAAGATCAACTGCAAATAATTATGTAGGATTTTTGTTTCTAAAGTATAGTAGTCATTTTGAAAAACAAAAATACATAGTCCATTATAGTTTTTGTATAATATTTAGGTAGTTATGAAATATATTGTTTGTTGGCTATTCCGGTCAAACACCTTTATTAGATAAATAATTGTTACAGAAGTACCTAATTATAACATTAAAAAATTGGTAAAAACCAAATAATAATATATAATATTTGAAAACGGGTTAACGTCGTTGTTGTGTTGAGAAATAACAAAAAAAAAAAAGATGTGTACCGTTGTTTAATTTTTTTTGTAATATCGAGTTATTTTTTTTTTGTGATTTTTGTTACTACAAACTTTGTACAATTTTTGATTGTTTTTTTTTCGTTCTTAATATTCTCGAGATTGTAAAAAAAAAAATTGTTCTTTTCTTCTAAGAAAAAATATCTTTTTTTTCCGAGGTCTTTTCTGCGTATATACTACACATATAATATATTATATTATATTAAATATGTAAAAAACAAAATATGAAAAAAATAATAAAAACCTGATTATTGTAATAATAATTACCGGTGTTTTTTTTTTATTACTATTTATTCTAAACTAATCCCTGGTGTGACAATAAAATTAAAATTAAAAAAACAGGATGCAGCTCGCACATCCTGCTCTTGCAGGATACAATACTATAATATATTTATGTATATTATATTGTATTATATTTTTCAATGCCGCGGTCTCGGCCGTCTGCTGACCTACTTGTGTACGGCGCTATAAAAACTAGAGCTCACTTTCCCAAGTATAGTGTAACATACAATAATAATAATAATAACACAACAGTGACACCACCACGCTCCGCTACCAATCCGATCCATCGTTGAGTCTGTTGGGCAGAGGTAAACCAAAAACGACCGGCTAATTAAAAAAAATATTTGTAAGTTTTTATTGTCAAAATAATTTTTCAATTTGGTTTTTTTCCCCAATACCGGACCGCGACAGCTTGTCAAGTGTGTACACTGTGTACTTTGACATTGGTAACGCAATATTGTTGTTATGACAAACACACACAAACGGCCGAGATAAGTAACGACCGGCGCGCCATTGACCTTGACAACAGTAATTTCGATATAACGTATTTAGAGTATAATAAGGAAAAATAAAATAATAACGCGCGTACGCACACGAGAATGTGTTATCAAAACGTTTATTATTCGATAAATAAATATTGTAATAATATGCATTCCTATTATTGTTAAACTATGTACGTTCAGATAGCGACGGCGACGAAAACCGATAAACTGTTAAAAAAAAAAAAAGATTACAAAAGAAAGCGAACGGTTTTTCAAACGTTCCATCGACGGTATACCTAATACCCGGTTACGACTCGGTTACCCGGTTAGTGGTTATAACGGTGCAGGGTACGTGAATAATATTCTTGTCAATGGCCGCCAAAATATGAAGGAAAAAAAACAAATTTAAGCATATTTCTTGCAATGAAAATTAACCGTCGTTTTATATAAAGTTCCATCAAAGACTATCAGTAGGGTTATCAGTTATCACTTATCATACCGTTACATAATGATATTATGTCGAATCGCCGTCGCTGGATATAGTCCTTTCGGTCGGATCAACAAGTTAAGCTACGATTGATTAAATTGCCACAACAGAGCAAGTAGGTATGTAAAAAACAAAATTTAAAGATTACAAAACGTATAGTTTATAATTTTCCATACAAGCGCAGCGAAGTTTAAACTATCAAACAAGTAGAACTTTTCTAAATAATCTAACCAGTTTGGCTTAACTATTTGTACACGCATATTTATTGAATAAAAATATCATTTCATTCATTTTGATAGCATCATATTATGCACAAAGAGGTTTAGTATCGTTTAGCCTAGAATTTTAATAAGAACAAAATATATTCAACCATTTACTTCGAATGTGCGTTAAGGTCACAAAATTAGATTCTTATAAAACAATTCATATTTTATTGTCTGTTTAAATAAAAATGACTACAACAGGTTACAAATATATGTATAAAGTACAAAAAGAAAACAATGCTCAAATGGTTAAAACGAATAAACGTACATGCCATTTGAATACATTATAACAGCCTGACCTAACCTAACCTTACCTATTCGCAATCAAGGAATAATGCAACATATTGTAATAAACTTGAAAAAAAAAACAATCGATGCGTTTGGTTTAATTATGACATATTTATTTTTTTAGCAACCGACGCGTTGACTTTGACCTCTTTCACGTGAATAAACGAAACGGTACAAGTTCACCCCAAGCATTATGTAGTTTTTTTTTTAAATTTCTTAATCAAAATGTCTTTGTGGTTTCCAATATAAATGTGCTACAGTATAAATTGTGTACCCTGTATAAAATGTACAGTGTATTGTATAAATTATATGATACATTTAATATACCGGAGTTATAAATATATATATAGGAGTATATAATTATACATTAGAGATCAATAAAATAGGAAATCGAAAGTGTGCAGAGGTGAACGTGTCGAATAAGATTAACATTATTATTACCGTGTATTTATTTTTATAGGTATATATATTTTATATACATACATATACAACAACCGTTTATGTGTATACAATATAATATGATAATTTTGTTAGACCAGTTTATTGTACACAAACATTTAAGATTTTTTGTTTTTAAATTATTATTATTGTCTAATCGAACAGCAACAGCAGACAAAATAATGTACAACGACTGATTGTGTGTGTGTGTGTACCAACTCTAGGCCAATCACCGAAAGATTAGAAAGCAAAATATGTGTGCACTTACCTTTTGGACTTTGCCAATGATCTGTCGTGCACACACATGTGTATGCTAATGTTTATATGTAAACGACACAAATATAGAGCAACAGTCTTGTCGTGGGAACACCACAATAATGCATAACAATATGGTAGGTATAATTTTTTACAATAGGCAATGTATAACGTTAAACTTTAACGTTTAAAAATATGTCAATTTTTGTCCAACCATACTGGTGTCCTTATACAATTCAAAGGGAAACAATATTAGTTGGTGACATGCATGATAAATGCCCAAACTTCATTTTCAGTCAGTAATACTAATTATATTTATCACAGTCAGTTATACAATGTTGGTTGTGACTATATATATATATATTTGTTTTTGTTTGTTAATAGAAACTAATTTTATAAGAAACTCGATGGTTATGAACAATGTTATACATAAAAATAACCTTGTCAGCTTTGCAACGAAGTTCAAAAATGTGTAAACATTTATTTATGTGGATTTTTGTAATTACTAGTAAATGACTACTGTATTTCATTGAAAATAATTAGGTACATCTCTTCTCTAATATTAATAGTGTATTAGACGACAGGGTGTGGATGGAGATGTCGACTGGAGCTTTGGATAAAGACAAAAGATGATTAGATTTCTTTTTTTTTTTTGCTCTCCCTAGGTCAACGGAGTTTCTTTTTAGGTACCTACCAGCAGAGCACCGTCGTCCTTTTTTCATATTCAAGGGAAATGGTCGTTTAACTGGAACGCTATGCACACAATAATGATAATAATAATTGCTGTCACGACGTTTAACGGATACACACTAGTATGTTGTGTATATCTATATAGTTTAATATATATATATTATATACTACAGCGCATAATGATAATCTACAATAACACTAATATGCATATTGAGAGCGTTCAGTGAAAATGCGCACGTTTTCTATTCTCTCTCTCTCTCTCTCTCTCTCTCTCTCTGTCTCTATCCCTATTTCTCGTCGTATCTGAACTTCTTAAACGCGTTTAAATCACTTGGGCGATAATTAAGACCACCGAGACAAAAAAAGTGAATAGAGTAAAACAATTAACTACTTCATTTCGAATCGGGTCGGGTTAAATTTGTTGGATACTATAAAAAAAAAAAAAAAAAA